AGTACTCTTAAAAACCTCTGCACGTGACCATAATTCGAGGATACAGGTCAGGTCTTGAAGATGAAAAGACCCCATCTCTTTGGAGATAGGAGAAAAGGAGAATGGAGGCAAATGCATCGGCTGAGCCCTTTCTGGGATAGTAGGCACAAATAGATACGGGGCCTTCAGCAGACTGGAAAAGGTTTGGAACAAGACCCAGTAGGGCCTTAAGGGGGACAGTTGGAAGAGAGACCAAGAATGACCGAGGAGAAGCTGAGACCCAGCTGAGACCAGATATGTGATCATATAATGTGTGAAGTTTGTCCCTTCTTTTTCCCAGCCATACTCAGCAATTTAGAACAAGACAGGGGGAAGGAAGGGCAGAGCTAAGTACTGGCCAGGGGCCCACAGCTGATGGACAAATCTAGGGTGTTTTTAAACCCATCCCTAAGATGCCGGACCCTGGCTAAGTGGACAGGAATCCAGGGGAGACCAGAACAACAGAGCTGGGATGGAGGCCACAGAATTGGTGGCCAAGGAGACGAGGCCAAGGAGCAGAGTCAGAGGGCATGACGATGACGTAGGGACAGCATCATGGAGAACGTTCATCCCCTGGTCTGGAGAACACAGACTCCACGCCATAGTTGTGTCTTCTTTCCTTCCTCCCTCTCACTCGCTGTCCCTTGCACAGATACTATGTGTTATCTGTCTCAAACGTGCTAATCACAGGACAGCATGGACAAGGACCCTTGCCTGGTAGTCTGGAGTCTCCAGACTTCAAACTCCCACACCCAGTGTCGCCATCCAATGGGGTGGCACGTACGGGTGTGTGGGAACACCCCAGGCACGTAACCCAGACTGGGAGTTTGTAGAAGGCTTTCCAGGAGGAAGTGACTTCTGAGCCGGGACCTCAAAGATAAGAGAAAGTGAGGCGGATAGAAAGGCTGGGGAGGCTAGCACCACAGACACCTCTGTGTCCTCGCCGCCCCCTGGTAGAAGCCGGCTTGCACGCCCACCTCTCTGCTAGAACCGCTCTAGGATATGGCCGCTCATCCCCTCACCAAATCTCGTCTCCAAACGGCCCCCAGAGCTTCCAGCCTTTCCCGGTCTTGATGCTGTCTCCCTCCTCTCTGACCTCCCTTCTCTGCTTTCCTTCCTCGTTCCCTCCCCTTCCACCGAAATGTGGGTGTTGAAGTGCTCCTCAAGTTTGTGACCACACGTCTTGCTCTCCAGTGTCTCTCTCTCCTTCCATAATCCCATCAACGTCCATGTTTTCCTCTCCTGCCCTGGCGTCCCTCAAGGACCAGCGCCATGTCTTCAACACACAGGGACATCTTGTGGTCTTACTCTTCAAAACTTGCCCTGGATTTCACCTCCCTTCACCTCGTGACTGTATCTCTGCAGGGGCTGTAGCTTTATCCCTTCCTCTCTCAGATGGATGGTCTGGGGTCTCATCAGTCATTACCTCCAAGGCCATTTTGCTTTCCCCCACCACACCCCACCACCACCTGGCCTTTACATGCTCCCTAAGTGCCATGTACCTGTGCTGTGCATGGCCAGGGGGAATTTCCTGCTGTGCTCCTGGGCAAGCATAGCTGCTTCTGGCCAGAGCTCCTTAGTGACCCCCCCAACCCCCCAATATCTGTGAGATGGAGCCTAGCTCCTTAGATGGGCTTTCAGGCCTCAGTCCAGCCTCAGAGCGCCATCTCCTATCCCATTGCCTCTCATTGCCTTTGCTTCAGAAAGACTCCGGCTAAATGCCCTTGCCTCCAAGTGCCCACTGTCCAAATTCCCAGCAAAAGCTCATCTCAATATTTCTGGTTCAGAGATTCAGAGAAACTGCCTCTGGTTTTTTCTGTTGGAAGAAATGTCTCCTCTCTGACTTCAACTACACCTCCCTATTGGAACTCGTCCCCTTCTGCCTTGTATTTGGGTTATTTGTGTACATCTCTACTGTCCCAGTACATCTGGGGGCAGGCCTTGAGGCCAAGAGTTCAGATTATTTTTTTTTTTTTTTTGTCTTTGCATATAGGTTCCAGCACGGGAACTTGTACATATTACATTCTCTGTAAAGAAGGTTTGAATAAAGGCGTGTGTGTGGTTTCAGTAAGGCCATTAAAAAATGCAAAAATAAGTCTTTTATGATTTCACTCTTTGAAAACTAACCTCATGGGGTGCCTGGGTAGCTCAGTGGGTTGAGCGTTGGGCTCTTGATTTCAGCTCAGGTCATGATCTCACGGTTCATGAGATCGAACCATGCGTCGGGCTCCGTGCTGATGGTATAGAGCCTTTTTAGGATTCTCCCTCTGCCCCTCCCACCCCCTCTCTCAAAATAAATAAACTAAAGGGGTGCCTGGGTGGTTTAGTTGGTTAGGTATCCAGTTTCGGCTCAGGTCATGATCTCGTGGTTGATGAGTTCAAGCCCCACATCGGGTTCTGTGCTGAACGCTCAGAGCCTGGAGCCTTCTTCACATTCTGTGTCTCCCTCTCTCTGCCCCTCCCCAACTTGCGCGCACACGCGCTCTCTCTCTCTCTCTCTTTCTCTCTCAAAAATAAATATTTTAAAAAAATAGGGGCGCCCGGGTGGCGCAGTCGGTTAAGCGTCCGACTTCAGCCAGGTCACGATCTCACCGTCCGTGAGTTCGAGCCCCGCGTCGGGCTCTGGGCTGATGGCTCAGAGCCTGGAGCCTGTTTCCGATTCTGTGTCTCCCTCTCTCTCTGCCCATCCCCTGTTCATGCTCTGTCTCTCTCTGTCCCAAAAATAAATAAACGTTGAAAAAAATTTTAAAAAATAAAAATAAAAAAAATAAACAAATAAATAAATAAATAAACAAAAGTTTTAAAATGAAAACTAGCCTAAAAGTAGCATCACATAATAATTAGAGCAAGAACAGAGATCGTTGATATTCTTGTATTATTCTGTCTCCATCAACCTTCACAAGTAATTCTGAGTCATGTCATGTCCCTTATCTCTGTCATGGGGATAATTCTGGCCAGACATGGTGTTCAGTAAGAATGTTCTCCAGGTGATAAGAAACCGAGTCATGTATGCTCCGTCACGGAGTCTCCCATTAAAAGAGAGTTCACGTTTTAGCAGGGACCTCAGCTGTACCACAGAGGCTGACAGGTTTGAACATTGGTGCCTCTTAACTCCGGCTGAAGGCCCCGTTTCTGTTTCCTCCTGTGCATGTTTCCAGTTCGGTGAGCAGAACCGTGGCTCTTGATAAAAGAACATGCCTGCCTGGTCCTGCTGAGGCCGCGCAGATGTGGGAAGGCAGGTCCCTGCACGAACCACCGAACAGTGGCCCTGCCTGCCGTTGGGGAGCTTTAGCCTCCCAAAAGTGAAAAAGTTGCATAGAGACAGAGTTTTGTTCTTTCAAAAACTCCCCATAACTCTTACAAACCATATGTATAGAGCGAGCAGTGTGCTTTTTATTCCAGTTAGAACGTTGGCAAGGACCAAGACTCAGAAGCAAGAAATACTTAGACCTGGGGCGGCTGGGTGGCTCAGTCGGTTGGGCGTCCGACTTTGGCTCAGGTCGTGATCTCACAGCTCATGGGTTTGAGCCCTGCGTCGGGCTCTGTGCTGATGGCTCGGAGCCTGGAGCCTGCTTCGGATTCTGTGTCTCCCTCTCTGTCTGCCCCTCTACCCCAATTGTGCTCTTTCTCTGTTTCTCAAAAATAAATAAACATTAAAAAACATAGAAGAAGAAATACTTAGATTCATTGAGGGGAAAAATCTAGCTGGTAAAACATAGGAATGCTTCTGGTGTGGAAAAACAATGAGGCCCATAATTAGACAGCTGTATCTACATTGCTGAGACGTGGAGATTTATGAGCTTGGAGTGAGGGGGGAAGGCTTCTTAGAAGATTAAGAGGAAAAAGACACCAGGGAATTAGCACATCTTTAAGGACAAAACCGAGAATGTAGAGCATCTTAGAGATAAGCTAATCTGTCCTCCCCCTTAATCTACAAATGAGGATGCAGAGACCCGCACTGATAAATTATGGGTGCAGCTGGAGTAAATAAAACCCAGGGTTTTTGACCCAACACCGTGGCTTCTTCTGGACCACAATGGCGGGGGTAATCCTAGCCGTTGAGAGAGGTTTTCATTGTATGAGGATGGAGTTAACATAAACAAACATGTACTGACTATGGTGTCCTCTGTGGACTTCATTGAAAACACATACACACACACCCCCTTCCAACAAGGTCACGGTAAATCCCTTCATGTAGCATGCTGTATGGCACAACCTTGCTTGTAAAAACAGAACCCCCCTCAGAAGGGCAGAAACACGATCCTCAGGAGATTTGCACACTGCTTTCTAACAGTTTCTCTTTGCTGTTTTGAAATATATTAAAAAAAAAAAATAGATAATAGGCACCTGGGTGGCTCAGTCGGTTAAGCGTCCGACTTCGGCTAAGGTCATGATCTCACAGTCTGCAAGTTCAAGCCCCGCATCGGGCTCTGTGCTGACAGCTCAGAACCTGGAGCCTGCTTCGGATTCTGTGTCTCTCTCTGCTCCTCCCCTACTCACGCTCACTCTCTCTCTCTCTCTCTCTCTCTCTCAAAAATAAATAAACATTAAAAAAGTATAATAGATATGGAACAAATTGTAACCTAGACTGACAACAAGCCCAACAAAAAGTGGGTAGGGAATAAAAATAAGAAAGAGAACCCCTAGCGTGAGATAAAAATAAAACAGTAGCACATTGTTTCATGCATTGATACCTTTTAAAAAAATAAGAGTCACTCATGTAACTTACATTTGTTGAGTGTCTACCGTGTGTCAGGCACTGTTCTGGGCACGGGGTGGGGGTGGGGGGCGCAAATAGACAAGAGCCCCTGCCCTCCAGAAGCTCATAGAGGGAGGTGAGCGATAGTGTTCTTAAGCTCCATCACCACCACCCCTGCCCCCACCGCCTGCCAGGCTTTGGTGGAAATGTAACTAAATTGGAAAATTGATAATGTCTCCACAAATGGGGAGGATTCTAATGAAGGTTGCTTTCTGGTTTTCAGGGAGAAGAAAACGGCTTTCCAGACAGTACTGGAGAACCCCTTTCAGGTAAACAATTGACTCCACGGATGTCTGGGCTTCACTGAGAACTGGCATGGCTGAATTGAAGATAATTTAGGAATATGTTTATCATTAACTTTGAAAATCTGTATTACAGCCTAGAGAAACTTTCCAGCCACCGGTCATGGTGAACTGCAAGGAAATGTTAACCAGATTTCACAAAAGCCTTCCAAGAGTCTTTTCTCCGAGCTAACCCTACTGTGCGCAGGGGCGGGGCACAGCTGGGTTCCCAGTTGGACAGGTTTAGGATGGGGCAACAGAACAGAGCAAGCAGACCCTTCTCCCTCAGGAGTCCTAGGAGGCTTGCCATTGCTGGAAAACTGTGCCAGGTGGAAGAAAGCAATGGGGCTTAGGTAAAGCAGGTCAGCACAGGAAGGGCCAGCATCCTCTCTCGGTACCTCAGGCACTCGGTTAGCCAAGGGGACCCTCCTGACACCTGGCCATGTGCTATTCCCTACCCTCTTTCTGCTACCAGTGTGTTTAACCAAAGAAACATGAAGGATTGCGTCCTTTCCCACTTTTTATTGTAAGATGGAAAGTCTGGCAGTCTTTAGATTTCTTATTAATCAATCTTGGGGAAAATCTGGAGTGAGCATTAAAATACGCTACCAAAAGAATAATGAAAAGATATAGAAACCTCACTCATATTTTCTATATCTTTTAAAACACATATCAAATGACCTGAGTCATCGGAGTTTTGTTTCTTTCTCTTCTAATGGGAGGGTGGCGGACCCTGAAGCCCTCAGGATAATCTCACCAATCCTACCTAGCCTCTGCCAGTGTAACCATGCTGAAAACCAGAACACGTGTTGTATAATCACCTTAGCCACAGTGATCTCTGGTGGTGAGACTGTAGGTGATTTTTTTTTCCCCTTCAGCAGATCTATATTTATTAAGGACCTACTGTGTGCCAGGTTCCCTAAAGAGGCCATGTGGCAAAAGTATAGTTCTGGGAGACAGAAGTGGGGATCCTGGTTTCAATTCAGTCATCCCCCTGCTGAGATTAGAGCAATCAAAAGAGAAACTGAGCCAGATGAACTTGCATTAGAGACTTCCCACCAGTCTCATGGGACAGGCCCAATGTCAGGGTCCCATCCCGACACCCCATTGGAACTTGTCTTCCTTGGGCCACACCCCTCCCCTACCAGAGGCTAGGACCACTGGCCAAGGATTATCCCTCTTCCACAAATGCTATAGCAGACAAGCTCAAATTAGAAGCACCTAGCTGGGTGGTGTGAGGAGGAGAAGGCATCTTTGTATACAAGCAGCCACTTTTTTTTTTTTTTTTAAGTAGGTTTCATGCCCAGTGAGGGGTCCAGTGCAGGGCTTGAATTCACAACCCTGAGATCAAGACCTGAGCTGAGATCAAATGTCAGACGCTTAACCGACTGAGCCACCCAGATGCCCCTCCACTATCCTATATTTTTAAAATTTCTTTTTTTTTTTACCATGTACCTTTTTTTTTAAATATGAAATTTATTGTTAACTTGGTTTCCATACAACACCCAGTGCTCATCCCAACAGGTGCCCTCCTCAATACCCATCACCCATCCACCCCTCCCTCCCACCCCCCATAAACCCTCAGTTCTCAGTTTTTTTAAGAGTCTCTTATGTTTTGGCTCCCTCCCTCTCTAACCATTTTTTTTTCTTCCCCTCTCCATGGTCTTCTGTTAAGTTTCTCAGGATCCACAGAGGAGTGAAAACATATGGAATCTGTCCTTCTCTGTATGACTTATTTCACTTAGCGTAACACTCTCCAGTTCCATCCACATTGCTACAAAAGGCCAGATTTTTTAAATTTCTAACATGAGTTCGAAAAAACTCTCCCCCAAAACTTTAACCTGTATATGTACATAACCTATATATATACATAACCATTATATATATGCAAGTGTATATATAAAGATGATCAGATGTAGGCAAATGCATAGAATGTGTGGTAAAATAACCAAAGAAATCCATAAAAGGCCAACTGTTATCAATCTGGGTGTTAAAGAGCATGATTTCTTTTTCCCCATGCTCATCTAAATTTTCAGCTTTTCTGCAATAGCACATATTTCTTTTCTAATTATAAAAGATCTATACACTTTTGAAAGACTAACACCCTATACACTAATGTGGGATGTGAGCTAAAATGAGAATGGATAGAGCTGTTCAGGAATATCTAGAAACCTTTATGCATTAAGGTTGTTATTAACTAATGGATTAATCAATTTTCAGTTGTCTCTTAAAAATTTTTGGGGCGCCTGGGTGGCGCAGTTGGTTAAGCGTCCGACTTCAGCCAGGTCACGATCTCGCGGTCCGTGAGTTCGAGCCCCGCGTCGGGCTCTGGGCTGATGGCTCAGAGCCTGGAGCCTGTTTCCGATTCTGTGTCTCCCTCTCTCTCTGCCCCTCCCCCGTTCATGCTCTGTCTCTCTCTGTCCCAAAAATAAATAAACGTTGAAAAAAAAATTTTTTTTTTTAAATTTTTTTACGTGTGTCAAAATGAAATGGAAGAGCTTCAAAGAGGTAAACTTTTCACAGTGATAGTCATAGCAGGTAGTGTTAGTGCGAGCAGATTGCCACTGAAATCAACATCTTTAGCACCTAGCACGGTGCTTTGCACGCAAGAACAATCAGGTGTTTGGCTCGATTTTTGTTTTTGTCTTCGTAAACAAGTAGATGAGAGACAGTAACTTAATGTCTTTGCTCTTGGATAAACTGGTGAAAACATCTGGATACAGTAAAACCTCGGATTGCGAGTAATTTGTTCTGTGAGTGTTCCTCAAGACGAGCAAACGTTTCTAATAAATTTTAAATTGATAAACGAGCGATGACTTGTAGTACAAGTAAGTAGTACATGACGCTGAGGGTCACATGATCACAACTGAGCCAGTGGTTCTTCTCTCTCTCTCTTTCTGTCTGTCTGTGGGATTGTGGATGGTCATCTCCCATGCTCGGATGCTCGGTCTCAGGCCACGGTGTTTGGCAGAAATCAGTGATCTTTCAGAATGTTGGAAGGTGCCCACAACGGGCACTACTGTGTTTTTGGTCACTTCAAAGCACCTATGGACAGTCCTTTGTTTTTCCAGACAAGAGTGAGCTTAGGAATGCTTTGCTTCCTTCTAGGTCAGGCTGCCTGCAGATAGAGACCCTTCCCTCTGCTGCCTTATTGCCAGTTACATGAAATACAGTCTATGGCAAGAGTCTATTAATACTGTTCTGTAGCAGTGATTCTGTTAGTGATAGTGAAAGTGGTCTTACACAATAACCCTCCTCTCTCTTGCCTCCCACACACCAGACACGAAGGCTTTCAAAGGTAAGTGCAGGTTAATTTGTTTATTTTTCTTTCTGGTTTGTATTTTCTTTATTATTTTGCATTATATTACAGTATTGTAATCATTTTTGTATGAATATTTTTGGATTATGGAACGAATCATCTGAGTTTCCATTCTTTTTTAAAAACATTTTTTGATGTTTTTATTTATTTTTGAGAGAGACAGACAGAGCATGAGTGGGGAAGAGGCAGAGAAAGAGGGAGACACAGAATCCAAAGCAAGCTCCAGGCTCTGAGCTGCCAGCACAGAGCTCAAAATCATGAACCACAAGATCATGACCTGAGCTGAAGTTGGATGCTCAACTGACTGAGCCACCCAGGTGCCTGAGAGTTTCCATTATTTCTTATGGGGAAATTTCTTTGATATACAAGTGCTTCAGACTATAAGCATGTTTCTGGAATGAGTTATGCTCTCAAACCAAGGTTTTGCTGTATTTCAGTCATTGAAGGAGAGTAGCAAGCTAAGTAAGATTTATCTTATTGTTTTAGTCACATGCACTAATTCCCCACTTACTGTGTACCAGCCCCAGTTTGAAGCACTTTAAAAATGTGCTTATTAGGAAAATGTGCTTAGAAAAAAGTGCACATGACAGCTCTGAGTTTACTTTCCTTACTGGGTGGATGTTACAGAAGCGATGCTGGGTCACGTGGCTCGTGCTTGGTCTCACAAGTCGTAAGTGGGATTCAAGCCCCCGGCCTGCCGGGAGCTCATTTCCAGCCACCACATGGGGCTGCCCCTCTACTGGTCAGATGCCTTGCCTGGGTAGTGCACACACTGAATGCTGAGTGTCCTACCGCAGGGTCAGCGGTATCTCAGGTAGAGTCTTAATCTGGAGCAAAGCCAGCATCCACCCCCCTCCACCAAAGTCCGTCTCCGCCAAAGACCCTGTCCTAGAAGGAGGGGTTAGACAGACGTGGGAAAGGACAGCTGACAGTTTGTAATCAAGGAAAGAAAAAGAACACAAAGCAGAATCAGCCACCCCTAGAAAAGCAAAGCCCCCTCTGTGGAACCGTTGAACACGGAAGCAAACACCCACAGGAGGCAGAGCCCAAGACCGAGGATACTCCTTGCGATGCCTGGGTTGAAACGGCAACACAAGTGACGGCCTGTGTACCCTGCTGAAGGAAACCTTAAAGGTGTTCGATGTTCTCATACAGACTTTCGAAATGAAAACATTGGGGCATGAAAGGAACACGAGTCAGTTATCAAGAGAGTATCCCTCCGGTTGAAAACACACAGAACCCCTCCTCGCCCTCCCTTTCTGAGAAAGCGGTAGCTGTCGCATGGTCACATGGACCACGGCGTTTTCTGTACCTGTTCTTGACGCCTGGCCAGTTTCCCGAGGATGACTTTCTGACCACCTTGCATAATTCAGCACTTGCCTGATCGGAACCGAATGTCCCCAGAGAGACGAATGTAATATAGGACTTTTATTTTTTTTATTTTTCTAGTTAGGCCCATTAAATGGCACTTTGTTAATGTGTTGACACGACATAACTTCTGAGTCCAGATTCACATGGAATTCTGTGCTGAATTTTTACCCAGGTCCTTTCCTAACATAGGTTCGTTTCCTTTTGAAAGTGCCTCTACCTTCTGAGTTTGGGTGATAACACAATTGAGGCACAGCGTGATTTGCTAGCCTAGATCCTTCCAATTTGTCAGTTAGACTCCCCAGTGCTGCCGCCGACATGATGTCTCCTTAAAGGGGTGTTTTAGAGAGAGAGAGAATGAAATTATATTGTTTTTCCCTTCGGTTAAGAGATCAAACGCCCACCAAACGCCCTTGGGGTAGTTTCTTGGAGATAAAAATAGTTCATCATTTTCCAGCTCAGAGCATATAAACCACCTCTGATGAATAATGGGGTGTGTGTGTGTGTGTGTGTGTGTGTGTGTGCATCCCAATGATTTATCAAAGCCATAAACTGACATTTTAAATATATTTCTTTCCACCCACATTGGAAACCACACATAGGAAAACATGAATTTATACCCTTAACACACACAACTGCAGAAGTACTCGACTCTGCTTTGACCCTAGTTGGTATTTTCAGGCTCCAAATCGAATAGTTTATAGACCCCTGGGATAGAGTTATTTTATTTCAGGATCACAATATTTTGCTATTTGCAAAGTTGCCAGTATAAAAAAATGCTTCCCGTTTAATTGTCTGAATTAACTCAAGACCTAGTCACCCCGGGGAACGTTACTATAAATGATCTAAGAGCGAGCAGTGGTCCTGAGCACACTGGAGGGAAACACCCGTGTGGTAATAGTTCTCGAACAGCCAGAGTGTACAAGATAAAACGGAACTCACCCCTGCAGGGAGACACGTTAAGTCAGTCTGTGATCCACTGCCAAAATCCTGGCTGGCGCCATTTTCTAGACCCAACTAATCATGACCTTTGTGGATCCTGGAGTCCTGTTCCAATTCATAATTAACTGTTAATTGGCCATTATTTTAAACCTTGCCAGCCCCAAGCTGGAGTTAGACCCTGCACCGTCGGACATGACCTGTTTCTCACCATTGTTTTAAGTGACATAGACCTATCCCGTCAGTGAACATTCTTGAATCCTGAACTCTTCCTTAAAGTGTATGAAAATGTGTGCGAGAGAGACGATAGAGCACAGGGAGAGAAGACTGAAAACACCCCACAGGAAAACCCATTCATCTACTCTTGAGGGTGGAGAAGTGTTATCTGTTCAAAGACTTAACGACCAAACCGACATGCTATCTCGCGAAGAAAAGTAGCAGCTCTGATTCGAAAATGTCATTTGGTGAAACCCATTTCTTCACTGTGTTATTTGCTTTTCGGGTGTGGAGTTTGGTGAGCTCTTTATAGATTTTGGATACTAGCCCTTTGTCCGATAGGTCATTTGCAAATATCTTTTCCCATTCCGTTGGTTGCCTTTTAGTTTTGTTGGTTGTTTGCTGTGCAGAAGCTTTTTATCTTCATAAGGTCCCAGTAATTCACTTTTGCTTTTAATTCCCTTGCCTTTGGGGATGTGTCGAGTAAGAGATTGCTACGGCTGAGGTCAGAGAGGTCTTTTCCTGCTTTCTCCTCTAAGGTTTTGATGGTTTCCTGTCTCACATTCAGGTCCTTTATCCATTTTGAGTTTATTTTTGTGAATGGTGTGAGAAAGTGGTCTAGTTTCAACCTTCTGCATGTTGCTGTCCAGTTCTCCCAGCACCATTTGTTAAAGAGACTGTCTTTTTTCCATTGGATGTTCTTTCCTGCTTTGTCAAAGATGAGTTGGCCATACGTTTGTGGGTCTCCTGAGAAACTTAACAGGAACCCATGGGGGAGGGGAAGGAAAAAAAAAAAAAAAGAGGTTAGAGTGGGAGAGAGCCAAAGCATAAGAGACTGTTGAGAACTGAGAGCAAACTGAGGGTTGATGGGGGGTGGGAGGGAGGAGAGGGTGGGTGATGGGTATTGAGGAGGGCACCTTTTGGGATGAGCACTGGGTGTTGTATGGAAACCAATTTGACAATAAATTTCATATATAAATAAAAGTAAATAAATAAAATTGATTCCAAAAAAAAAAAAAAGAAAAAGAAAATGTCATTTGGCAGCCCCTTCTGGCCAAGAACTTACCCTGCAGATGTCTTTAAGGCAATGGTTTTCAACCCTGGCTGCATATTAGAATTCCCAGGGGAGCTTTTAACTATCCCATGTCTGCCTGCACCCCACACCACTTAACTAAGGATCTCGGTAGACGATCCCTGGTCAGAGTCAGGATTTTGTAAATCTCCTTGGCCGAGAGGGTGGGGGGGGTGGGTCAGGAGGAGTTCCTTCTTGCGGCCAAAGGTCCAGAACCAGTGCTTTTAAAAAGGCTCTTGGTTATGCTTCCTCACCCCCAGCTACTAATCCTTTGTTGCTCACCTGTGCACAGAATGAAGTTTCAGTGGATGATCTCATTTAATCCCCTCCATAACCTTGGGAAGTAGATCCCACTGTCCCTGGTCAGAGAGTGAGGCTGTGGCCTTAGCAAGCTCATTACCAGTCCAAGTTGCACACCTGCACCGTGCTGATGGGCATTGACTGTCAGCTGGGGTGTCTCTAAAGCTCTTGTTGTTGATTGGCCGTACACAGTGTGTGCTCTTTCTCCATAGCAACCAGGCGTCTTTCTTCTGCTTTGTATGTGCTCAGCACTAAACAACAAAAAAAAGCTTCAGTTCATCTGAAATTTTCTGCCCAGAGCTTTAGTGTTTCTCTAAGACACAGTCTTCACTCATTCGATTTACTCAACAAATATTACTGAAAGCCTCCTGTGTGCCTGGAGCGAAGTGGTGACATCAGACACCAAAGTCTCTTTCCTCTTGGAGTTTAATACTAGCTGGGAGTGACAGGCACTGGGAGTGACAGTCATTACATTTGGTGGTAGGTGTACCGTGAGGAAAATAACGAGGGGAACAGAATTTTGCCTGGTAGGGGAGGGTGCTGCTTTAGCTAAGAAGATGCACAGAGACCTGAACAATGCGGAGGAGCCAGCCGTGTGAAGATCTGAGGAAGGAGGACTCCGGGGAGAAGAGCTAGCTGGTGCAAAGGTCCTGGGGCAGGGCTGAGCTGCATGTTCTAGGGACAAGTGTGGGCAGGGAGAAGCCATAGAGAAGGAACTGAGCTGGGAGATAGCAGCAGAGGCCACACTGCGTGGGGACTCTTTTTCTTTACGTATCCTTAAAAAAATGTTAAATCTAACATCTTTCAATAACATTTACATAAGACCTGACAGAAACGCCGTTACATCATTTATCTCATTCAACTCATGAGATACAGAAATGATCATTTTAATTTTATAGATGAGGAACCTGAAGTCCGTAGATGTTAAATGCATGGAGAGGTCAAGCTCTAGGAGGTTGGAGGGCTGAGATTTGAAGATGCTGCTCCGTGCAGGGCTGGTCGTATGTTAGCCATTCCATGAATGACCATTGTCCCGATGAAAAGACACTGAGGGGAGCCTGGGTGTCTCAGCTGGTCACAGTGT